TTTGTAGTTATTATGCACTAGCTAGGGGCATATCCACAGCAACAAAGTTATACTTCTTCTTTAAAAAAATTCTCATGATGATCTCATTCCATACAGTTGGAGAATTGACATGTTACTTTCTTTACATATCTTCTTAATTAATAAATGGCTAATAAATTATATATTGTTTAAAGTTATTTAATCATACAGGATTCTGAGAATTCACCATGATTAATCTTGACTTTGTTCACAAGAGCTTCCAGTGGATCAATTCTGGGGAAGTAAAACCCACTTAAAAAGTAAAAGCAAACCTAAAAGCCTCAAGTTTCAAAAATTTGCACCACAGATTCAGGCATGCTCCCCTCCCAAGCCCCTGCACCCCCACCTCTTATGGTAACAGACACTGTTGAAGCTGAACTGTAATTCGGCACACCACATTTCTATACTAATGTAATGTGACAATCTTATGATGTTTGCTATTTTCCATATAATCATAGCCATATTCATCATCCCCAACCTGATGTTAAATTAATTAATATAGTTACATTCTATCCTGGACCAATGGGTGAAAGCAGAAAAGGATTACTGGAGCAGAATGGTTTGATGATGGTGTGTGTGTGTGTGTGTGTGTGTGTGTGTGTGTGCAAGCATGTATAGGTGACAGGTAGACTTTATATAAGGAATGTAAGCTCTCAGACCTGGCACATAGCAAGCACCCTATCAGTGATTACATCCAAGAGAAAGTTCACAAATAGCTACAATATGTGGAAAGTACAAAAACTGTTTCTCTTTTAGAAGAGGGAAAGGTAATACTCAGCGCAGAAGACCAGCGAAGTTTCCAGTTTAAGTAGAGGCTGAAAATGAAAACAGAACTCTTTAAGCGGATAGAGTAAAAGGAATGGATTCCGGGTAGAAAGGGTCCATTCTCCAAGAGAAGAAGTTAGCACAGGCAACGGGGAGGAGAATGGGAAAGTGTCATGCTGTTTAGAAAGCCATCGGTAAGATCATTGACAGTAACATGTCTCACGGACAAGGTTCTGCAATAGATAAAGACGAAAATGAACGCTGGGGTCAGACCATGGAGGTTCATGAACTCCAAACTGATGATTTTGGAGAGTGCTGTTGGCCGCTGCGGTGTACTAGAAATCCCTGTATAAAATTCATTCACCTAGTCTACTTTGATTTAGTGAGTTACTATGATCAGCACTTACATGCAACACGATATGCAAAACACTGGGCTTATGAGCCAAAAAGATAAAGAATATTGTCCCTGAACGAAGCATAATCTTACAGGGAGAGAAGACCAAACATAAATAACCATAGAGAGTGATGGCTGATGAAACAGCATCAACAAAACCCCACAGAATTCATAGGAGGAAAATATTGTCTCTAGTCAGGAGAACCAGGAAAAGTGGGTGATAGGTCAAGTAGGGAGAACAGGAAGGAAGAACTGGTATGGAGGCCTGGGGTGAACTGGAGGAGGGAGGAATAAGAAGTGAAAAACTCGAACTGCAGATTACTACAATAACCAGAAAAAATAATACTGGGTACCTAAACTATGGCATTGATATGAGAGAATTGAGGAATTCAGTACACTACACTCACACTTGTGCACACACCCATACACACGCAAAGCAATTGTTTTTGTCAACAAGTAGGTCATTTAGATGGCAATTTTCCAGGGAAGAAAGGCTCCCACAAAATTTTCTTTAGAAGTAGACTTTTCCATCATTTGCCTAAGTGCTTCTTTTTTTTCTTTTTGAAAGATTCAAGTTCGTTAATTAGTATGATTTATACAAGATTACACGTACAAGCTAAAAAGTATTTCCATCTTCCCATTGTAAATTGTATCTCCAGGCTAACATAAATAAAAATGTTCTAGTTATTCTTACCACTCTATGAATCTTATCAGAGAGATGACATTTAGGTCTATTGGGGGATACGGGGGAGCGGATCTCTTTTGCAATGTGGTGTGCTTTTGTTCTTTCCTCTTTTGAAAAGTTTTATGTCTATTTTCCTTTTCTGTTTGTTTTCTGTGCAGTTGAAGGCTGCAGTCACAGAATTTATGAATAAATATCTAAGTTGAAAATAATAATTCCATTAAGAAATGAAATGCCCTAAGTTGATTTTTTTAAAGTCAATCTCTATAAAGAAAAAGTTTTTAAAATACCAGGAATCACACTAATTCTATTTGTGCAACTTATAAAGAAACAATGAGCTAGAGAGAAAAGGTTGATTTTGATCAATTTAAAAAGTGAAGAAAATGTGTCATGCTACTTTAACAGTTACTATTGTACCTTCTACAAATTATAGTTCATATGAAAATAAGATTTGCTTTTAAATATTCATTTGTACCTCCATATCCTCACTACCAAAACTCCGAAGTACAAACCAAGAAACTCACATTTCCAGAAAACCCACTAAGAGGTAATGATTTAATCAAAATGCATGTATTTTCAGAGCCCTCCAAGTAATTTTCATGCTGATTCGTATAAGAGGCATATCTGGAGACACAGTTATTGGATGACATTTACCTTATTTACAAGAAAATAACAAATAGCCTTATCATGGGCATCGTCACTACTATCACCCAGAGCTGCATTCAAATAATTTTCTGTAAAAATGATTTGAAGACAGCATGATACGTAAAGTAGGATCTCGATGTTCCTTTAGGAAATGTCTAGCAAATAGATACAGAAAATTATATTCCTCCTATTTAACCAGTATATGAGAATGCACAATCTGACACAACCAAATGGCAACTGTTTTATAAAACGTATAAACTAGATTAAGCAAAGTTTGGCAATGAAAGTTCTTTAGCAAAACGAAAAAAATTTTCATGCACCAAAGCTCTCTCAGCTAGCACATGTGATCACATATCTGTCAGGATCACAAATGCTTAAAACTTTGCCTTAATAAAAGCATAACAAATTATTAGTCTTCTTGTTGTCCTTGAGCATAAGTTTATGTTATTTTCTATGGAAGTAACTATTCTGTGTATATATATCCTATCTAATAAAGAGGGAATATGCTAACTGACCCTCACACTGTTGCAAAGATGGTAGCACCCTCAGCCAATAAGGAAGGAATATACTAATTGACTGTCCCGCCCTCAAAGATGGCGGCACCCAGTCCCCTCAGCTCCGCTGGGGTAGCAGGCGCATGGCACGCCTGCCTCCAGAGTCCCCCAGTCCCCTCAGCTCGCCAGCCACCCAGGGCAAGCCCGAGGCACAGGCAAACCTCAGTCGGCTGCCCAGCCGCCCAGGGCCGCCAAGGCTTGCGCTGCTGGCAGTGGCAGCAGCAGAGGTGTGATGGGGCATTGCCTCCAGCTGCTGAGGGCTCCCGGACTGTGAGAGGGGGCAGGCTTGGCTGAGGGACCCCCGCCCCTCCTCCAGTGCATGAATTTTCATGCACCGGGCCTCTAGTATATATATATCTCTTTATTAAAATCATCTATAAGTTATTTGCTTTGCTTTATGTACATATAAGTACTAAATCTTATGTAAGGTTATTCATATATCCCCAAATGAGGTGGTTTGTGTGATTTGATTGTAGAAACACACTGTTTGCAAATATGTGAAAGTTTACTTGAAATTCTATGAAAGATGTCACCGGTAAAATGGAGACTAAATATTTCTCCATCTATGGTGGTGTGATCTCTTCCAGGTACTATTTTACTTTTCGTTAATTGCTTGTTATACCTGCATTCAATATTTTGGACAGGACACTTGAAGAGAGATGGTGAATTGTACACTATTGCTAGGCAACAACTTAGTTCAATGAAATATTGTAGTTTGACCCCATTTTCAAACTACATTGTGATACATATATCTATAGACATGAAGAGAGTCTCTAATAGAAAAAGGTCAAAATGAACACAGTCTTTCTTTAAATCCATTCACAAGCCCAGCCTTCACATGGAAACCCAGACCTTCAGTCATCGCCATCGCCTATCCCAGTGGTCGGCAAACTGTGGCTCGTGAGCCACATGTGGCTCTTTTGCCCCTTGAGTGTGGCTCTTCCACAAAATACTGACTTCTGCACATGGGCCATGAAGTTTCAATCGCACTGTACGTGCACGCCCACATGTGGTATTTTGTGGAAGAGCCACACTCAAGGGGCCAAAGAGCTGCACCCGGCTCAAGAGCCACAGTTTGCCGACCACTGGCCTATCCCATCATCCTAGACTAGCTTTCCTTAAATGTGGTAGCATTTACACACATAAAGCAGGGTGCCTTATTCTATAACCAGGAAGCTTTGTCACAAATAGTTTCTCAATACAGAAATGTAATGTTTTGTGGGAAATGCTGTTATCATTTTGATGAAATGCTATAAAGCATGATCTATTTTAACGTTTAGAAACAAAACATCATTCTCCGTACCAATTAATTCAATCTCAAAATCCTCACTGCAGTCACACAGCTTAGACACTACCAGATAGTCCACGATAAAAGGTGAACACTGTTTCTTTGTCATGCTTATATTGTGAGACGAAAGGGGGAAAACCCACAAGTGGCTAAAATACAAGGGAGAGTACTTCAAGGACAAAGTTTAAACATGTTTTTAAAGTAAAAGGTAGATATTGGCTTGAATACAATAGAGAGTGGAATAAACATAATGAGAACTGTCACCATTTGCTAAAATTACAGTCCTCAAGATGTAACCCTACAAAATTAAACATTACTTGATATAAAGCAATTATGAAGTCTCTTTAAAAAAAAAAACCAGGGTGAACTGTCACATATAGGACATAAAAACATTATTTTCAACACGGTGACCATTAGCAATTCAAAACAATGGACAAGAGTGGAAAAAACAAAGAATCACCATCAGTCTCCAGGTAGCTTACAGCATGCTTGATTAATACTTTAGTATTTAAGAGGGTCTTTTCTGTAGAAACAACTGCTTCACCTGCTTAGGACTGTGTACCTTACAGACACTATGAAAAGTCCCCATTTGAGAGCCTGGACATCAAACTGTAACAAAGATGAATATCAGTCCACGTGTGCACAGGTACTTACGGTCATTGCAGAGCGGGCCACTGAAGGAAGTCATGCTGCAGTCACAGCTGAAGCCATCCCACTGCTGCAGGCACACGCCTTGATTGGAACACGAGTCCTCCTGGCAGGTTGTGCTGGGCCCTGTTAACACAATCCAAAAGAAACTTGGTTTCCTATTTAAAAATCCCAAAGTGCTTTATACACGAGCTAGGTCACATATAGTAGTTGCCAACACCTCAAAGTATATGACCAAACCAGTTGTGAAAGTTCTAGTTCATACACCTGAATTAGAAACAGAGAAGCTGTAATATGAATGTTTTCTGAAGTTTCAAGTGCAGGACAAAATACATTATAATAGTAAATGAAACCAACAAATAGTAAAAGCAAGCACAAAGCTTCCAGTATGATTAGGCATCATCCATAATTCTCTACCACCATTTGAATTTCAGAAAAGTGCATGGATCTCCTTAACTGCTCACAATGAATAGAGACACCATGAAAAATAGAGATTATAACTTCATGAAATTGAGATAACTGAAGAGAGGTATGCAAAAATGTCCTAGGTCTTCTAGAAGTTTCCCTGCACAAACTATGGATACAGTTATGATTGTTGGGTGTTTCCGATAGGTATGTTGGCAAGTATCAATTAGCATGCTTTGACAATTTCATGCAATTAAACATAAAATGAATAACTCTATATAAATGACATGCCCCATTTTAACGTACAAGGAAAAAGAATGCTATTCTATTTCTAAAGAATCAGAACTAGAACACTGAAAAACAAAGAACTAAACGAAGGATGATAAGAGCACTAAAGGGAACCACTATACAAACATAGTCAAGACTGAAAGCCGTTATGCAAACTATGCTACAGAATGAGGTTTCTTGCACAATGTGCAAAAAAAGGAGAAAAATTCAATCTGAACCCAAACAACAGTTACTGCAAAAATGTTTAAAAAAAAATGTTATTTGGTGGTTTCCACTCGGTATTATGGGGTTTCAGTCTTGTTTTGTACACACAGGGCTATCTACCTTGCAAGTCAGCTTTCATCAATGCAACTTTGTCAGCAAAATAAAAAAAAAAGCAAAATATATTAAATGTTAGTAAGCAATACTGAAATGAGGCAAACACGGGAGAACGTCCAGATTCAGAAAGCATGCTGCTGAAAAGGGGGAGAGAAATGCTATGTAAAGCAAATAAATTCATACGAACAGCCATAAATCTTAAGCCAAAAATGAGAAAGCGGTAATTTATTAGAATTTTACTCTATATGTGTGTGTGGGTATATATATAAAAAGATTAATTGAGCTGATGACATGAAATGAAGGAAAGTTAAAAGGGCTTCTGTAGCTTTTCCTCTCTTGGACAGATAGAAGCACATTACCGAAGGGACTGACGGCATTGTAGAACCTCAATACTAAGAATAACTTAGGGAAGGTTGAAAATGGAATACTAGCCAACTAAATAACTATAGAATAAAAATTTAAAGTATCCCGTAGTAAACACAATTATATAGTTTTTATGAAAATGTCAAAATAGACACCAGTAATTGGGTTAACTGCTTTAGTGAGTGAGAATTACCTAAGATTAGCCTTTATATAAGTTAATGTTTTTGTAAAATGTCCATTTTTAACATAGTACTTACAATCAGATTTCTATTATGGTTTTCTTAAAGGTATTCTTCATAGAAAGTTATTAAATTTAGCATAACCCATGTGAATTCTCACAACCATAATATTCTAAATACTAACTATATAATAATAATTTTGGCATAGTAGTAATAATAGTTACTATTAGTAACAGTTGTTACTAATGATTATAATAATTTCACAGGTCTGAGAGACTGAATAGATGTAATAGTTTTTCTCACCCATTGCATCAAATAACCAAGAACCACTGAATTACTTAGTTTTTGTTGTTCTTCTAATCTGTGAGAGGTAAGTGATCTGATGATCTTTATCTCATGGTAGTAGAGACTGAAAAATAGTGTTTGCTAAAAAAAAAAAAGAAAAGAAAAAAAAAAGAACAAACTCTTAAAGCAATAGTCCTTAGCACATTCCTTCTTGGGATAAGCATCGGGTCAAGGAGTGGTGCAAGTCCAGTGGCTGTTGGATCATGGGATAGTGCTCCCTTGCAGAAAAGAGCAGGAGCAAACACTGAGGAAGGGCCAGATTTTCGGTTTTGCAAAAATGATCAGAAATACAATTACAAAATGATGCTGAACTCTCCAGCTGGTAAAATTGCAACCCTACAGAGTAATCTCCTCATATTGTGAAGCAGCAACTCAGGGTACCTGCCAAAATTTATGTAGGCATAAAGACATGCTTTTATTACTTTTTTTTTTCATTATCACAACAGTCTTTTTATATTCCGGTATTACAAGAGAATGCATGCCTATGCCTGACAAGATACATTTTTCAAAATACTCACTTTCTAGAACAATATTTAAACATTGGCAGGCAGCTGGCCTGCAATTTATTTTTCCCTTTAGTTATATCATGTCCCTTTATTTTTATCACTCACAAAAAATTAGAAACAAGCCACGAGGACATTTGTATTAAGTGGTTAAAAGATAAGGACCTGTCTTTAAAGGAAAGAAAAGTGAAGGTAAAACGACAATCTCTGGAAACCAAAGAGACAATAGCTAAAAGTGGTTTGATGTCTGAGCTTTACGTAAGGTAAACTTGGGTTCAAAGCTTCTGTCATTCACTTCCTAGCCCTGTGACCTCAGGAAGGTCACCTCCCATCTCTGAGGCTTGACCTACTTATCTAAAAAAGTCTGTAATTCCTAGTTTATATAGTTTTGAGGAGTAAATAAAATAGCATATGTGAACTTAATGTCACCAGTGCTCAATGGTAGCTTTAATAATTATTTCTGTCACTTAAAAATGCATTTGGGGGCCGAGTGTGAGGAGTCTATCCAAAGAGTATCCAAGTTAAAAAAAAAAAGTCACTGACTTCACGTATGAAAGTTAACTAGACTCAATACTGAGCTGAACTGAGCCTGGTTACCAGTTCACCTTGCCTTTTATGTAAGCAGGGCAATGCCATCGCAAGCAGTAGAATTCAAAGTGTGGTTCTCAGACCAATAGCATCAGCTTCATTTAGGACCTTGTTATCAATGTAAATTCTTGGGCCCCATCCTGGACCGACTGAGTCAGAATCCCTGTGGGTGGTGTCCAGTAATTGGGTCTTAACAATTATATGGGCATTTCTAACACTGGCTAAAGCTGGAGAAAGATTCATCCTCAAGGAATGTGCAAGCCCCCTCCCCTAGCTCATATGCGGTATAAACAACATGTACTCTTACCAACTAAGATTAGTTAGAAATGAAAAGCAGCGAGTGAATATTTAGGGAAGTCCGAAAACTTCTTACATAAAAGGGGCTTAGAGATTTTTAGGTCCTTTTGGGTAGGAATGATAGAAAATACTGAAAAGATTTTTAGTTATGTGAAATTTATACTATTTCTACTAATATGAAAGTTAAGTGAGTCCAATGTGACTTGGACTCAAAATTCTTGAAACAATAATATCAAGAGAAAGAATTTAAGGAGTACTTAGAATATGATCACAAATTCTAAAAGCATGTAATTATTCCTATGACAGGTACATCTGAGATTCCTAGAAAACATATAGGATAGAAATAATCATAAATTAAAAGTTGTTAATATTGATGTTGGATTTAAAAAATGAGGAAAGTGTCAAGGCAGAAAGGCAGGGGTAAGATAGCATTCCAAGAAAAAAAAAAGAAAAGAAAAATGAGGTAAAAGAGGGTGAGATTTATTAAACCTCAGATATTAAAGCATCCTACATAAGATAGGAAGGAATCATTGTTATCATCTACTGAATGAAGTTTATGGCTTTCCAAGAGGATATAAAATCCAATCACCTTAACCAACTTGCCCACTAGATTATGTTGGAAAATAACATGAAATATCATTTCTGCTAATATTCTTTCTCAATACATCTTCCTCTCATATCATGTGCCAGTGGGGGGGAAGGGGGGATGACGTGTGTTTGTGGTTTTCTATCTGGTATGTGTTTAGTTGTGAATGTGTCTATCTGTCTTCTCTCATCATTTTTTTATGGATGAGATGTCACTTATCAAGCAATTGGTAGAAAGGCCTATTTTTGAAAAATATTTTCAGGATAGTTTGTAGTATTTTTTTTTTAATGTACTTATTCTCACGAATTAGACCACATTCAAGAGTTCAAGTTGTATCTCACATTCTTGTATCTATCCACTAGAAGGGAGTTATTCACTTAACAACTTTGTTTACTTTACTAAACTGTTAAAGGAGAAAACACAAATTTCCCTTTGTTTTACAGAAAGCGTTACTCCAAAATTTGAAAGAAAGAAAATAAACATGGTGATAACATTAAAAATCAATTTGACAGAGACGTCCATTAAATAGCCTTACCCTTCGGCAGGGTTAAAATACAGTTTGAATTTCATCTGACTTTTCAGAGAAATATATGTTGCAGAGAGAAAAAATATATATTTTCAAATAAAAAAAACAAAATCCCACGAGCTTAGGTAATTGCTAAGTCTAATGGCATTATTTGGGCTGAGAGAAAATGATTCATAATCTCCCAGGGGATAGGAATTCACATTTCTTTCTTTGCTTCTCCCATGGAAAATTTCCTTATGAATTTAAAGTTTTCAAAACGGCCCAAACTGTGTTCAACATTAAAGGAGAAGCAGCAACACATTCAGAACCACAAAATTCAAGATAATGTGATTAAATTACATTTATGGAGGGAGAATTGGCTCAAACAATCTGAGGTGTTGAAGTGAAAATTATCTCAAATGGAAGTAGCAATCAAAAAGTACTCCTACAGATCTTAGTCTGATAGAAAGCACAAAAGAACAGGAAGATTCTTGAACACATTTCTGAAGCAGGAAATACCAGTCTTGAGTAGTAGGAGAAACCAATTTTTGCTAAAACAAACTGATAATATATATACTCATGCTGCTGGCTAGATACAAACCAAAAAGTAATTTGGGAATGGTATCTAAACTTTATTCTCTTGTTATATCCTATTGAATGTATATTTCAAACAACAGGCTCAAACTGATTAACACTTGCTGGAATAAACATATTTTTCCACTCTAAATGGATGTCTATTTAATGTTATAAAGCAAGCATTGCAGAACCGATTAACACACCAACTATGTAAACTATAGAATGCAAAGAAGCAGAATATAACAAGAACCATGGATTTAGCTCCTGTTTGACATCAGGCATAGTGTAGGCCTGCAAACAGTCCAGAAAAAATAAGATTTATGGGTTGAAAGGTTAAAAACATGAATAAGGATTTCTAAGCCCTCAGTGGGGGGTTGACCAGTTGACAGAGATGAATTTTGCGGGCTAGAGAGATCTGTTCTCATTTACAGGTAGAATTGGAGTTATTAGAGTGTGATATAACAAAATCTAGTACCTTCGCATCCTCTCTCGATCTGTCCATTGCAGAAAAGGGCATCTGAGATGAGGTCTGGAAGCCGTCCATTTAGATCGACTGATGCCAGGCAGCCTTGAAAGCCCTCCTTGGCATGGACAAGTTTCGGCAAGGACTTGTATGTTTCTTTCGCCACTCCTCCTATATACAAGTCACCTGTGGAAAGATCAAAGTTTTGGTCACAAAAGGAACTTGTCCTTGACTTTAAACATACAATAGGACAGGAAAAAAAATATAGTGAGGTTTACTTTTCATTAAATTAATAAAAACAAGCTAATTTTAAAACGAGTTATTTTCCTAAAAGCACAAATCAATAGAATGCACTGAGCGCCATACAGTGTGGCCACGCGGGAGGAACATGGGCCAGGGGGTTACATGTTCCTACATTGAAATCTGAGCCCCATTATTTCCAACTCTGTAACTTTAACAATTTGTTTTGTTTTGTTTTGTTTTGTTTTTTCTGATCATTACTAGTCTCATTTCTAAAATAGAAATAAAACCTAGGGTTATGTAAGGATTAACTGAGAGAAAATACAAAAAGTATCCATCATAGTGAAAATATGTAACAGACAGTCAATAGTTGTTATTATCAAACCTACTTTCTGCTTAGAGAAGTCTGGGTTTTCAGTTAATCAGAGGTTCAACAAACTTTCTCTAGGGTCCAAAATTACTTTTTCTACTATGCTTAAGCCCATTATCCTTGCCTGTACCTATTTTATTCACTAACTCACTCCCACAATAGTCTGGATATATACCTGAATTTTTTTATCCTTTTTCAGGTTATTTATTATTAGTATTATTATTAGTAGTATTATTATCTATAGTTATACCACTTTGAATTCTTTATGCTACACTGGGATCTGTTAACAAGCTGTTAATTTCCCCCCAAAAGTTTATTGCCGTTTCTAATGCAGCACTTTGCTCTACTTTGTCATCTTCATGTGTCTAGGTTTATGAGCCATTACTTTAAAAAATAAACTGCAATTTATGTTTGATTCTGTTTCCTTTCCTATCACAGATTATTCACCATATCTAAATGACATTGAGTAGATGTAATTAATGGACTTTGGTTCATTAAACACTTAATCAGTGCAGAACATAAGGAGGGTGACCCCCAAATACCACAGTACATTGCCCCTGTCTACAAGTCCTGATGAACATACTCTCTTTAGCTACTTCTGACTTTTGTCATTTGAATTCTCTCTCACATTAACCATTCTAACTTTCATGCCACTTGATACCTTTTCCCCATTTTAACACTAATCCCTTGCACTACTCATGCTTACTGGGACCCCCCTGTGTTGTCTTCATGGGACTTGGGAACAAGGAGAACCGATACACATGCTGTTTGTTTAGTCATGAGTAATAACGCCCTAGGCCTCTGACCCAGAAACCTTATGTATTCTGCCAGCTTCTGTGAACCAGTAATAAGCTAACCGATTAGCTTGTAGGTAGGGTAAAAATCAATCCGCAGATATAACACTCTTGAATCACACTGATGAGTACATTGAGCTTGCTGAAAGTCATTTAGCCATAAAAACTGAGAACTTCAGTCCTTGACCTACTAACTAAGGCTCCAAGTATTACACTAGAATATCATTAATCCTGCATAATTTGCACTGAAGGTACTGGATGTTTTGACTTCCTCCACCTCTTAAAGAACATAAACATCTATTGACTATTAACTACTAATATTAAAAGGTGGCGTGTTCTTGGTCTGAGCTGGAATACTATTTTTGATCAAAAATAGTATCAAAAAAATTTTGATTTTTTTTCTACACATTTCCTTTTTCTCCTTAGACTTTCCTCTCTTACATTTCAAGCCATTGTGTTTTAGATGCCTCAGAGAAGAAAAATGAATCATAAACTAAAGTTACAAATTATCTTTCTATATGTGAGTCTTAAAAGCCAAGACTTTTAGAGGATTAAAGTAGAATATACAGGCAATTACATAAGAAGAGCAAAGCTTTCCTGCCTCTCCTGTGGGCAAGCAGGAGAGAAAGTTGGAAAAGACATGTGAGCTCAGTCATTGGTGAATGACAAAAAGAAGACAGTGTGCTCTGACTTGAGGGGGATCCGTGGGGGATGCTAAAACCTCAGGTAGGCTTACGGGGTGATATTGATCTGTGTGCATTTCCCCAAGAGAACTCAGAAGCGACAGTGAGAACCTTGAGAAGAAATGGCTGCATGGTAAATTTGGACATGCTGAGAGTTTAGGCAGACTCACAGAACTTCCCATAGTCTACTGTGGTGGAGGAGCAACAGAACAATTCCCTGAGTGGCACAAAAAAAAAAATAAGCAGAAAATGACTGACCTGAAGGGGTTATGCATACAAGAATGAAGGTGCTGGGTAGCAATTCATTGAGCATCTGAGCTACGAATACAGAATATCCAAGAGCAGCTCCTATGCAATCTCTCTCTCCATCCCCCAAATTGGTACCCTGGGAAATCCTCACCCCACTTAATTTAGACACAATCCCAGGGAAATAAGAAAACTAAAATTGCCTGAGATGATATTTTCACTAACTCAACAAATCAGAGCTCAATGTAGAAACCAAGGTGAGTTACAGAAAAATAGAGATAGATTTCTTGCACATCTGAGATTGTGGGCTGAGAGTCATACTGTTACATGCCAAATGTCAAGGCAGGAAAATGCTCCCTACACTAGTTTATTACACTAAAATTGTTAGGAAATGCAAGCTCTCCTCTAGACCTAATAAATGTAGTATTAGGAACAGTGGGTGTTAAATAAAGAATTCTGGGAACTGCTTCAGATATAGAACTCAGTACTGAAAGTTAGGTAGGGAACACTATATTTGATAAACAATCTTGTCCTTTGTGATGATAACCTCCTGGAGGAGAGAGACTGTGTCTTTGTTTTGCATTCTCCCACGGTGCCTAGTACCAGGCTATATAGCACAGTGGGCACTCAATAAATATTGAGGTCACAGTAGAAAAGAAGAAAGAAGAATGGTAAGGCAACACATGGGGAGAGCACTAATTCTAAAATGCATTGACTTCCTTTCCCCACTTCCTGCCACAATCCTATTTTTTTTCTATTAGCAAACTTATTTGTTGAACAACTTTTTAAAGTGTATTAAAGAAAAAGTAGTAAGCTTTCCCGTGTGCTATTAAAGAGCAGAGACGATCGATTCAAGCTGTGCAGGATACAAGCCTCAAACACACCAAGGTGGATGGGTCTGGCGTTGTAAGTAGGGGCATCATTTTCATTACTGAAGCTGCACTTAGTACCACCACTTAACATGGTCCTTATAAAGTCTTCATACAACAGACAGTGGTCTAAGATCCCCTGTTGGGTTGCCATATGAAGAGAACAAAGAAAACCCTTAAGTGGCCTGAGACCTGTGCAGCATTAGCACTTCATCAAAGATGCAGCTTCTCCTTTTGATCCTTGGGGTGCTAGCAAGAAAATGACCCATTAGCACTAATGGGATCTCCCAGGCAACATCCTGAGCATGGGAAGGAGAGGATGCCTTTTAATGACCCTTGTGTGAAGGAGAGACAGGATGGACATCCTCTAAGAGCCAGTTTCCTCTAGACTTGAAACCATCGTGTTGCCCCTTCTTCAAGCTATGAGTGCTTTTTATTCAGACCCTTTAAGCAGACCATGTATGCAATTGACAAGGCAACAATGGAATTGGGATATTTTTCACAGAAGATGCAGAGAACATGTACAAACAAAGCCACATAATCTCAAAACATCTGTTGTTGTTTTTTAATCTCAAGAGTACACTTATCTTTAGCACAAGTGCATATATATGTGTGTGAATATCTCAGATATCCATTCCCTAGAAGTTGGGCAGTAGTGAGTAGTAGGGAATAGTGCACAAGCTTTTAAGTTATATATGGTTAGAAATCCTGGCTCTGCTACTTATTGGTTGTCTCAGTGTAGGCACATTGTTACATAACTTCTTTAAGAGTCAGATTCTTCACCAGTGGAATGGGTTAACAATGCCCACCTGTGAGGATTATAAAGCCTGTGTGTGAGCACTGGGGTAGAGCACACACTCAGCCCATCACTGCTACTGGCGTGGTTATGTGGACATGTCTGGTAAGGACTACGCATCTATAGTGTATCTCATTCTATGTTGATTGCACTGAGACAGAAGAGAGAGTCCAGGTAGTGCCCGTGTTTCTCATGTAATGGAGTATCAAGGTGTCAAGCGTACACATTTTATTTTACTTGATTCAGTTTTCAGTCATTTGTATCCTAGAACTGTGTCTTGCACTACACTATGGGCAGCTCAAGAGGCTCTGCAGACAGACTCAGAACCTCTAAAGCTGCCCATATTACCAGCATTGAACCTGGTAACATAAACAGGACAGGTGCTTGATGAATATCTCCCAATTTGATAAAAACAGATTAAGGGACACAAAAATGCAAGGGTCAGGTTGTAAGGTTCATGCTGAATGGGCCTATGGACTTGGATGGTGAGGTGGAGCTTTCTGGAGAGTTTAGACCAGAAGGAAATATGGGACACATGATGTTGTAATGACATATATATATATATATAATAGGTTGCAGGCATGGAAACCAGCACAGGTTTACCCTGGAGATAAAATGAATACAGCATTCAAACGAGAGCATAAAAGGCCAGACTGGGCAAGAAGTTGCTGGCATGGAAACCAGCACAGGTTTACCATGGAGATAAAATGAATACAGCATTCAAAAGAGAGCATAAAAGGCCAGACTTGGCAAGAAGAGAATTTTTCAAAGGGGCACTGGTAAATAGTGTTGGATAAGTCAACTCAAAAGAAGGGCAATTATCAGCAGATGAGTGGATTAGAAAACTGTGGTACATCTACACAATGGAATACTATGCTGTGGTTAAAAAAAAAAAATGGAACTCTACTTTTTTAAAGGTACACTTTTTCTAGCTATGCATGCATGGAAATTCAAAAAGAATTGACATTCACATTTGTAATACCTTAACTAATAATAAAAAAAGAAAAAAAGAAGGGCAATTGCAGCTCAATAGAATATATGACTACCGGTTTAAAAACGAAAGCTGAACAACAACAAAAAGGTAAGTCCCCAAATAGAAGCCATGCAGGCTAGAAAACTAAACAAGGGAACATGAAGCAGTAATAATTTGGAAAGAAGAGATGAAATTGTAATTTAACATTGCCCACC